CTAATATATATATATATATATATATATATATTCAAATTAGACCAATCTATGTTTTATGTAACTGAATTGAAGAAGTTATGTCCAGTCTTAAAGAAAAAAATTACATGACATAGCTATTTGTAAGACTATAGTCTAAACATTTTATGTAACTGGCCACAGAACAGGTCCACAACTTGTTTATTCTCATTTTGAACAAAGTATCTATTGCTGATGAATTGTGTGTTTGTACTACAGTATATTTTTTACATTGTGGGGACCAGCCTGCGGTCCTCACGAGAGAAAACAAATGATTAAAAATAATAAATGATGTTTATCTGGAAGTGTAACAATGCAAACAGGTTTTCTGTAAGGGGTAGGTTTAGGGTTGGGTTAGGGGGTAGAAAATATTGTTTGGTCAGTATAAAAGTAATAGACATCTATGGAAAGTCCCCACAATTCACAGAAACAAACGTGTGTGTGTGTAGTAAACAAGAGAGACAATATAACCAGTTACTTTTAAATGTCTGGGAATGTTTTTTGTGTTTTCTTTGGCTGAAAGATCACTCTAAATCCCTCTCACACAAGTGAGCGTAGAGCAAGGATGGAAAAAATCTGAGGTGAAGCTGAAGCAGAGTGATTACAGAACTCTATGAGCGGAGAGGGGAACTCCACTCCCACACTTTGGCTTCTATTGGAAATATTTCCGTGAGCAGAGAAAAAATGTACCAGCTAACTGGCCAAATTTTGTCTGAAAGTGAGTCACTCGATATTGATTTCCTATTTATTGAACTGTTGTGTAAAAGCAATATCACACTCACTAACATGCTGTTTTACAGAGAAATATATTAAGTACAACAGCATTCATGTAATATAATATAATATAATAACAAAATATCAAATAAAATGTTCCTATTTCAAATAAATACTGTTTGTTTGAACATTGCAATTTTCAAAGTGTCCTTAAAATGTATCATGGTTTATAATATAATATAATATAATATAATATAATATAATATAATATAATATAATATAATATAATATAATAATATAAAGTTAAATCTCTGCAACTAATCTCCATTTTTTTTTTTGTCTGGCTCCTCCAGAATATTCGGGTGCCTTTAACTGAATTATCTGGCCATTGCTATTTTGGGCTACTCCTGGGGACAAAAATTATCTAGCCAGTCAAGTTCATCTTTAGAAACAACATGGCAGAACTGTTCCACTTCCTTCCATTAAATCAAGCATAAAACTGGCTGAGGCAGGCATGGTTGAATACATAATATATATGATTTTTTATAATACAGAACAACAAACTGTGAACCAGGAATGGATTAACTGGTGTTGGATTGAGCTTGAGGTGATAAAGTGCACTTAATAAAAGCATGAAGGTGTTCTTACCTTTTGATGTCCCACATGCTGCTGGTCAGAGTTACGGAAGCTGGTATGACACAAAAAGAAGAACATAAATTATTTTCATATCTTTCAGATTTTAAAATGTTAAAATATCAACCTCCAGAGGAGGGCAGCAGCAGTCTCACAGCATGAGATAATGCCTTAAAATCAACAGAAAAAATTGTGCCAAACAGAGGAGGACAGCCCCTGCTGTGTCTGCTTTCTACATTGGTTTATTTGCACCTTCTATTTATAGATGAGCTATGTGGAATATACTATCTTCATCTATCACTTTAATGCACTACCACATTCATAAGTACCACCTCTAATAAAGAGATGGAGAGAAAGGAGAGTGAGAAAAAGAAAGGGATAGTTATTGAGCGACTGAGAGGAGAGGGGAAAAACGATCTAATGCATCTAATGCAGCTCCAGTTTAGCACATTAAAGCAGACAGACACGAACACACACACACACACACACACACACACACACACACACACACACACACACACACACACAAGAAAGACAGACATGAGGAGTGAATCAAGGAGTGAAAGAAAATATATGGAGAGACAGGGAGTAAAAGGAAGAGATTGAAAGGAAGAAATAACCAATAGAGAGGACGAGAGAGACACAGAAAGAGTGAGAGAGAAAACCAACAGAGGAAGAGGGAGAGACAGAGAGTGAGAGATGAGGTATGTATTTTTAGTGAATTACATCTTCAACGTCAGAAAGAGTTGGATGCATCTGTGAGTAGCTCTCAATAATGCAGCAGTGTATGCACTATAAAACACACGCGCACTCTTAACGCGCTAAATCCGCTGAAGTTTTATGGTCATATACAGTATTCATGTGCACGTTATTTGCTGCGAGGCTTGACAGCAGCTGGTCAGAGAGAAGCTACTTCAAGACCAACTGTGTGAGAACACAGGAAGAGGGAAACGGGTTTGGGGAATACAGAGAGGCATTTGTATTGCGCATGTAAAAAGGGAAGCGGTCTAAAGCGTCTAAGAGTGTCTCTGGTCCAAATCCTAGTGAGCTGTCTACTGAGGCCGCATTTTAAGATGTCTTCATACTTGTGATGGCTGTTCCACAAAGTAAGCAGCATGACTGTGCTACTTTGATATTCCTAATTTAGGCTGAATTGTAGGGCATGTAGTGTAAGAGTCCAAAATGCATTGCAAAGAGCTCAGTGAAAACTACATCCAAGTTGCTGGATGAAGTGAGAGAAATGTTGACTATAAGTTGCATTTATTTATTGAAAATACAGTAATATTGTAATATTGATTACCATTTAAAAATTGTTTTCTATTTTTATATATTTTAAAATGCAATTTATTCCTGTGATGGCAAAGCTGAATTTTCACCAGCCATTACTTCAGTCTTCGGTGTAACATGATCCTGTGTTAGTGATAATATGTTGATTTGACACTCAAGAAATGTGTCTTATTTCTTTGAATGTTGAAAACAGTTGTGCTACTTAAGGTAAAACACTGCAGGCAAAAACACTGCTTTTGTCTGTTAGTGGAAAGAAAACATTAAAAAATCCAATTTTAAGTGTTTCTTTTATAGCACTTTATCTATTTGTGTCTCTGGATTTCAATTACAATAGATATCTTTAAAGGCCGCTATCTCAAAATGAGATTTTTCTCCTGCACTGAGCCAAAAATCTCCACTTCAGTAACACTTACATATACCATTACTATCTATATTCTGAAGGTTTTTAAAGAGGGGTTTGTTCATATATAATTGCTTGGTTTTATACATTTTATTCCTAAAAAAAATAGTGAAATAAAAAGGTATAAAAAGAGAAATCCAAATTCCCCTCTGTAAAAACATTTGAGTCTAATATGTCAACAAAATGAAACAAGAATTTTGAACCTGTTCTAGACATCTATGCAAATTAGTGCATATGTAATTAGATAACACCTAATTTGCATATTTAAACATAACATTTCAGAAAACATGTAATAGAAAGTATATATTTTTTTGTAATTCCTAATGTAATCAATCAGCTGTGTAAGTATTAGTTAAATTGTTTACCCTATTCACCTGGGGTGTCTCTCCTTAATATTTTTGTGCAAACCATGATATATATTTTTTAGGATTCTTTGGTGAAAGTTCAAATGAACAGCATTTATTTGAAATAGAAATCTTTTGTTAAATTATAAATGTCTTTGCTGTCATTTTTGATTAATTTAATGCATCGTTGCTAAATAAAAGAATTAATTCCCAATTCCCATACGCAAATGTAATATACAGTGCCTTGCGAAAGTATTCACACCCCATTAATTTTTTTTCACGTTTTGTTATGTTGCTGCCTTATGTTAAACTGCTTTAAATTACTTTTTTCCCACATCAATCTACACTCCATACACCATACTGACAAAGCAAAAACAGAATTGTCACAACTTCGTAAATGTATTAAAAATAAAAAAAACTGAAATAAGTACATTGCATAAGTATTCATTCAACTAAATATTTCACTGAAAACCTTTACAGTCTCAAGTCTTTTTTGTTTGATGCAACAAGCTTTGATCATCATTATCTGGCAATTATCTGCCATTCTTCTCCTCACCTCTTCACCTCTCAATGCAAAGATGTTAAAAACCTGTTTTTTGCTTTACCATTATGGTGTATGGAGTGTAGATTGATATGGAAAAAAAGGAATTTAAAGCAGTTTAGCATAAGGCAGCAACTTATAAAATTATATATAGCCTTATAAGTAAGATATGACAATATCTATATCTATATACCAATAACTATATCTTGATATAGGGGCAATATGTCATATATTACATGTCCATATGGGTTTCTTTAATAAAATGTATAGCTACTGTATACTGTATACTGACTATATCTGATATACTGATAGTATACTGACTTCTAATAAGGTGAATGACTTTCCCACGCTCCCACCCAATTTTGCGTAAATTTCAGATGCAATCATGCAAATGCATTTGTAGATTGATTTGAGGCAACGCTATCTGACCACTGGCACAACGTTGACCACTGGCAGGTTTTTAGAAAAAATCATTCTTTTTTTAATAAATTAGACACTTTGGCTTTAAAATTATAGCATTTTATTCATTGTTAGCTTAGCAACATGCTAACTTTATAAATATCTAAAACAATTATAGCTTGTGTGCTTCGCAAGCTGCTGTTGCTGCCTACTGTATGTAATGTAAAGTGTTCCAAATCAGTCACTTATGACTTGGCATGCTGCCTTAGTTAGCTAGGCTCATTGGGTTTTGGACAGAACCGGTGTGTGTGTGAATGCAAACAACTTACATGCGCTAATATGAGTTTAAACTGAGCCTAAACTCAGCAGTCTCTCGCTGGGTGAAAGAAGGACAGACTCCACAGGACTCTCCTGAAAGATGAAAAACTCATTAAACACACACACACACACACAGCCCTTTTAAATCCTTCTCTCTCAAACATCCACACACTCACTGAAAGCATCAGTTGGCATTTGACTTTTATGATTTTTTCAGTCTACTTTGGAAACAGCTGACTCGGGTATTCTCCCACTAAAACTCTGCGATCAACAGACATCTGTCTGAATATGAGGGTCTTACTGTGAGCTTGTCACTTGAGTAAAATGGAAATTTTGTCTATTATAGACTCTGCATGACAGAAAATGGTCATATATGCTTCAATGTATACAGTATATATACACTACCATTTTAAAGTTTGGGTCAGTAAGCATTTTGTTTGTTTATTTGTTTTGAAGAAGTTAAAACTTATATTCAACAAGGACCCACTGAATTGATTAAAAAAAAATTAACAGTAAAGAAATTTTATAATGTTACCCAAAAGATTTTATTTTAAAATAAATGCTGTTCTTCTGAACAAATGTATCACAATTTCCAAAAAAAAAAAATTATTAAGCAGCACAACTGTTTTCAACTTGGTAGTAATAATAAATGCTACTTGAACAACAAATCATCATATTAGAATGATTTCTGAAGGATCATGTGACACAGAAGACTGGAGTAAGGGCTGCTTTACCGTCACAAAAATAAATTAAAGTCACCATGAAATCAAAATTGAAAATTCTTATTTTTTAATGGAATACTGTAGTGTTTATTATAAATAATTTATCCGTGCACTTCATTCTTTTTTTTTTATTCATGTGCCCTCGTAATCTTTAATCAAAAACGTTAACCTCCCCTCCCGCTCAAAACGACTCATCTTCTCTTCCGGTCACGAACTATGGCGCAAGGGCGGAGCTAGTGACGTGAGGGGTAAACGCTGGGATAAACGACAGGGGGAAAAGCTGAAGCTGATGCTTCACTTTATAGCACTGACACCAGTCATGAGAGAGTACGTTACCCCTAAACATTGAAAAGATATTAGGATATTAAGACAACATTACTTTTAGGCATGGGCGTAGCTTGTGGGGGGGCCAGGGGGGCCTGGCTCCCCCATAGCGATTTAAGAATTTTACTAAATATTTATTTATAAAGTTTTTTCTATGAAGTAAAAATGCATATAATGCAGTTAATAATACATGTAAAAGTGAATACGTAAAAGTTAATACATTTTAAATTGTTATTGTAAGTAAATTAATAAATCAAAACAAACTTAAAAGTCTCCCTCAATCTCATTTGCGTAAGAATTGTCACGTGAAGAATCTGCATTTTGGTGGATAATAGACTTAACGGTAATGCTTGCCTATTTTGTGGAATAAAATGATGTTCCGCATTTTTAACAACATACACGAACTGCAGAGAAATCTGGAGACAACGCAAAACTCAGATGAAGATATTAATGACGTGCTTAATGATTCCGGACCCGGACAATCAGATAAAGGTGATCCACAGGACGCAGCCGGTTTAGCCGCACACTACTTTTATGCCGACCATTTACATCCAAATGTTATTTAATTTTCACAGAACACAACCTTTAAATAGATTTTAGAATATAAACTGTTTATCGTCTATTCAGTAAGACTAAATAAAAAGTGTGCGCCTCATTGTGCATTAACTTGAATCAAGCCCAACAAATGTCTGTTTTAAAAACAGTGGATGAGTAATTCACTCCTTGATTTGCTTAATAAAAGCCTCCTTTGAGATCGTTTTGACAGACATGTTTATTGTGCATTTTAAACGTGTTTATTGCTAAGTTTAGTGTGGCAAAATAGAAGCGCAGCTGTAATTCGTGGGCAATGTATGTGGTTACCATGACAACCTCACGCACTTGCCACTGCTCTATGTGAATATGTAGATTTACTATAGCAAAACTAAAATGTGTTTAAAAGTACGTCTGACCAAATCCACCGGTTCGGTTTGACCCCCCCAAACTCAAACGTCAAGCTGTGCCTATGCTTTTAGGACATCGCAAACTAATTTTTTTCATGAATATGACTTAACCTGATGGAGGACGCCGTGCTAAGTCATTCAGGCAGTCTCTCTCTCTCTCTCTGCGCGTTGTTTAGGCATGTTTTGTGCCATTGATCGTCATTGTCATCCTTAATAAATAAAACATTTATTCATGCCTAGGGTGTCAGCGGTGAATCCAGTGGAGAGAAATCCACCCACAGCTAACTGCAAACTAGCATTCAGATCGGCCCCCATTTTTTTTTGCCCCAACTTCCAACGATCCAATCAATTCCCGAAGGACGAAATCAAGTCCCACCCTCTCATTTCAGATGCCGTTTCACTTGGATATACATCACAGTAGAGAAGAAAAGATAATCACAACTTCCGTTTCATGCACACTGACTGTCTTATGCTATGCTCTGTTTGTTATTTGTTCTATTTTCATTAATAAAAAAACAACAAAAAAAAAAAACAACTTCCGTTTCATGCCGACTTTAAAGCAATAAGGCCTGTGAAGCTGTGGTTTACAGTGAATTTATAACAGCTAAGGGGCGTTGTTAGGCACGACGCGAAGTGGATAAATAAAACGGTTTTATTTACGTATATGGAATAAAACGGTTATTCCATATACGTAGTAAGGTTTCACAAAATAAAACAGAGCAAATAAAATGTAATGATATTAATAAAAACATTATTCTTCCACCAATCAATGTAGTTCCTCAGATTCAGTTGTGGTTGCAACAAAGTGGTTGCCAAGCAACAGAAAAATGTAAACAAAGGTGTATGTTTGTAGAGTAATTTACAACAGCTTCGAATGTGGCTCAGCCAATCAGAATCAAGGACCAGAACTATCCGATACATTTTAAAATATATTAAAACAGAAAACACTTTTTTGAACTGTAATAATATTTCAGTATTCTTTACTGTTTTCATTGTATTTTTGATCAAATAAATGCAGCCTTGGTGAACTTAAGAGATTTTTTTTTTTAAAGAACTTTAAAAATCTTACTGACCCCAAACTTTTTAACGGTGTGTATTTTCAGTGTATGTGCATTCTGTATGTATGGTGAGGCCCACATGTAAGAATTTTCTAAATGAATACAAAATGTGTTTATAATGTAATTATAAATTATATTATCAGCATAACAATTTGAGTGAAAAGTTACATTTGAAAATGGAATTGCTTAGTATTTGATATTTGCACTCAAGCTAACATTGTCTCCCACAGTTTCTGCAAAACCGGATGATCCATGTTATCCAGCATTTGAGAATGTTCCACTGAGCATCTTATGAGCTTCGACGGAAGAAACAACATCTGGCCTTTTGGTACAAATTTGTTTACATTTAATCAGTGACCTAGAAATAATGCAAAAATATGTCATTTCACACACACACAAAAATCACTGTAGTCTCAGAGTTTTTGGCCCTACTGTATACTGTACCATTTGCAAACATCTGGATTGGATCTATTTTTAAATGAGCAATATAAATGCAAGAGATCATGCTCAAGTGTGAGATTGCTGTGACAGATGGGGTGTATTTTGGGTTTTAAGAGCATAATGGTGTGAATGCAGTAAGAACTTGTGGCCACTAGGTTGTGCTGTTCACTTTCATTCACCTATCAAAATATTGATTGTAAAATTACCTGAGAAATGTGTTGGGAACAAAAAATCACCATTGCCTATTTATTATGCAATATGTTTACACAATACATGTTCCATAGGGTCTAATATGCAAAGTGTGCATGCTCATATCATGTGTTCCTAAGTGAGACAATAAATAGTTTGAAAAGCCTAAAACAGTCGGCCGCCTGTGTGTGTGTGTGTGTGTGTGTGTGTGTGTGTGTGTGTGTGTGTGTGTGTGTTTGAGAGAGAGACCGAAAGGGCTTAGTGAGAAAGAGAGAAGACATTTCACCCCCTCACTGAATGGAGGGTTTATTGATCTCAGTGGACATCAGCGCCTTCCAGCATGGCATTATACAGAAAGGCACATTAAAACATCTAAAGAGTGTTAGAGCATTGAATATGAGATAAGACAAGCCTTGACTACTGGCTATGAAAGAAAAAAAAAGATGCAAAAGTGGCCTTTTGATGTTTTTAACTTCACTGGATGTGCATTCTTCATATTTAGAGAAGACAAGTAGACCTACTGTACAGTAGATGAAACATGAACTGAACACCACTGTTTTCATGCCAGGCCCAGAAGGAATCTGCTGACATTTTTGCATCTTCTGTGCTGATATTACAGAATTTAAACATAGTAAAATGTGAAATCGAGTTGATAGTACTACGCTTACTACTGATAACCAAAAGCATTATCAAATTACACAAAATATTTCATAAACTAAAACACAAGAGGCTGCATAAGTGCATTCCAATTATGTGGAGATCTGCACAGATTCTGTTTGTTACTGTTCATATATTTGATGGGTTTCTGGTTCAATAAGTTAAAAGATTGATCTCTGCCATGTGCCACATTTCAGTTTTCACCATTCATTCTCACTCTTGTAACCTTGCTTGTTAGTTTTTCCAAGCTGTAAAACTACCAATATGAAGATCTCACTTACCTCTGTTCTATTTGAGTCAATCTGGAAAACAGAGATAGAAAGAGAGAGAAAAATGAGAGTGAGATGAATACAGTCATCCAAAATGACAGCATTACACCAACACTTCATTATCATGCAACTGTTTTTTCATACAAAAGATCAAAAATGCAGTCTCCATGAATTGTGGCAATATCAGATGCTCTGTCATAGTTGATGTAACTCAGTGATTCCCAACCAGGGCCACGCATGCCCAAGAGAATACTTGAAAAGATTTTGATTTTGCCTTGTTAAACCTCTAAAACAGAAACTATGGCTTTTAAAATAAAATATTTTAGGGGTTATTAAATGATTCAAATAATGTTAACAATTTTTGCAGATAATATTTTTAGTTATTTTAAAGAAAAAATAATGTGTCAGTTTGGTCAATTTGTGTCAATTTAATAATATTTATTATAATATTTTTATTTAGAGTTAGAATGCAAAAACACCAGTTAAGACATTTATGTTGTTACAAATGATTGTCAAATAAATGCTGTTCTTGATCAAGATCATGTGACACTGAAGACACGAGTAATAGCTGCTGAAAATCAGCTTTGCCATTGCAGGAATAAATGATCAATTTAAATAATAATAATTAAAAAATAATAAGAAGAAAAATTAAATAAGAAACATTTCCAGTTTGGGGTCAGTGAAAGGGTATTTAAGACAAAAAAGGTTGGGACACACTAATTTAATGTCTCACTATCACACTGCAAAAAGGCTATGAATAGGTAAAATAATTTAGGGATCAACTGCTTGACAGGTCAAAGGTCACGTCAAGTCAATGCGCTAACCACCAAACATAGTAAAAGAGACGTGCATATGTTTGAGCGAAAATGGAGCAGGTCATGACTGTGACCCAGGCCTGTCAGTCTTGAACTCAGAAAGAGACACTTTTAAGAGTTTTCTCCCTGTTTCTCTCTTCTTTTCACACTCATCTTCTCTCTCACATTCGTACACGCACTTTCACACCCACATCTTGAGAGAGTTGTTTGACTGTGTGCCTAATGGTAATAGATGAGGTGTCAGGATGAAGGTGAGAGACACTAAGTCATCCTCACAGCACGAGGGAGAAACGGTTCATCTCTAGCTCTCTCTCTCTCTCATTTTCACTTCGCCTAAATCTACAGGCGCTAAAATGGGAGAAAAAGCTCCTATAGAGCTTCCGTTCGAACACAACGCTGATGTTTTGCATTTTATTTTACTTTTACTTTTAAATAATGTGGCCATCTGTGTCTGAGTTATGGAAGGGAGAACTTGGATATTCAAACTGGGCTGTCTTTTCAGTACACATTAGAGCAGCGGGAAGAAGTCAGCACTTTACACAAGTCTTGTGAGAAAATGTCAAAATATGACAGGGCTGAACAGAAATAAAAAACTGCTTATGCAAGCCTCTTGTCTCTCAGAGAATCACTAGAGTAAAGTGACCTCCGGTTCTCAAGAGCAATAATATACATTCACAGGCATGAAGAGTTCTAAACTAACATAAAGCATAAGCATTATTTAATGTCATTCAATTCAATTTTTGCTACATTTTTACAATTTCCAGAACTTCACTGTAAAAAATACAGTGGCAAAGTTTCACAAGATGCATTTTGGTGACTGCATACATCATTAAACTGCATAATATTGGTGTAGTAACACATTTCAGCTATTAAAATGTATTTGTTGCTGTAAAACGTCCTTATAATAAGCTGTACAATGACATAAATGTCACATGACGACCCCAAGATAACTTTAAATGCTCTCTCCAGTGACTGTTGTCACACAGAAACACCATCAGGGTAATAAACATAACACTAAAATAGCACTATGAACATTACCTAAACAACATAAAATGTAACTTACAACACACCAATGTGCATACTGAAACTAAATAAAATAATACGAATTTAACTTAAATTTTATATTATGTGAATCCTGGGAATTTCCCTGTCAAGTATAGGCCTAATTATGAGATTCATATATATATATTTTTAAGAAATAACATTATTTTAACAATCTGAATCCATAACGTAGGTTATGGTCTTGTTAAATACAATAGGCTATATATTTTATCCATACATTATATTAACTTATTAATTAATTCGTTTCTAAAACATTTTACAATGTAAAATTACATGTATTGTCTTTTAAAATATAATATAAGATTTTACTGTATAAGGTCTCTTACAGTTATACTGTAGGATATTATTCCTGATAATATTTGGACATTTTTACAGTGTGGTTTGTAATAGCCCGCAGTCACTGCAAGTTTGTAAGAAAACCAACAAAACTTGAAGACTTTTAATGAGTTCACCCTGTCCTAAAATGTTCGACAGAGCTTACAACTCTAATAAATAATTCAATTTAACAGCGGTCTGCACATTTACGGCTGAATAACGACGTGTTCTGTGAAAGCACTATATTAAATCTTGGACATTTCTGAACTGACTGCCTAACAATAGTTTGTCTTTGTCTGAATATCACAGCCCTCACACACACACACACACACACTTGACCAAAGCACCGGATGACCTCGCTTTATCGTGAAGCTGCGGGAGCTCTTACCGGATTCTCCAGGTACAGTCGCGGTGCGAGGAGGTCCCGGTGGAGATCCGTCTCTCTATCCGCCCGAGTGAGAGTCCAAGATCTGGTAACTCCGACAAAAAGACGAGTGCACTCTGCACGGTTCTCAAAAACCCTACGTGTCCACGCGCATAACCCGATATAAGTGAAGAGCTTTAGAAGCTTTTGAAGTGGTGCGCTTCACGCGACGCGCTCGCGCTCGCACCCTGCTTTTAAAAATACTCTCCAGACGCAGGTGGGCTATAGGGTCGCGCAAAGCCAGAGGAGTCAGAGCGCAAGTTGATCTCATCAACACAAATCTGATGAAGACACGAACAAAGATATGCAGGATGCTGCTCATACAGACACATGCGCGCGCGCGCGTAAAGGGGGTGACGATTTAGGATAGATTATTTTATTTTTTTTGCATTGAAAATTTCATTAGCATATGAACTGCATTTTAACAGGAAATCCACTTGTTTTGTGTGTGAAATGTAACAAAAACAAAGAGGACCGATTTAACACAACTTCATGATAATACAAGCCCAAAGGGGAGCTCAGCCCAGAGCAATAGAAATCTCATCATCATTCATTAACTCATCAAAAGACAACACACACACACTCACGCACGCAAACACGAACACACACACACACACACACACACACACACTGTGCATCTATTCTAGGACATCCCATGGCTTCATTAGATGGAGTGCGATCTCATTAACAACACAACACAATGCTTTAACTGCATACATATTCATGTATATTCCATGAGCATTATTGTGCCGATGTATGATATTCAGAATGTGTGTTTGTGTGAAAATAAAAACTAGGTCGTATAGCCCACCCAGAGCTTCCTGTGATTATGGTGGCTGTGTACAGAAGACATACACAAACACATCAAACACTCAATTACACAACATGCAAACCACACTAAATGACCTAATACCAGCCTTCATCCTATCTCCATCACTTGCTCACACATTCTGGCTGCCTAAATAAGAAACAGATGATAAGAGAAGGTGAATAATGAGCAGGCCCAGACAGAATTTAACTGCATACATATTCATGTATATTCCATGAGCATTATTGTGCCGATGTATGATATTCAGAATGTGTGTTTGTGTGAAAATAAAAACTAGGTCGTATAGCCCACCCAGAGCTTCCTGTGATTATGGTGGCTGTGTACAGAAGACATACACAAACACATCAAACACTCAATTACACAACATGCAAACCACACTAAATGACCTAATACCAGCCTTCCTCCTATCTTCGTCTCTTGTTCTTACATTCTGGCTGCCTAAATTAATATATAAGAAACAGATGATAAGAGAAGGTGAATTATGAGCAGGCCCAGACAGAATCTGTTCAGCTTTTTTCACACTTTCTGCAGTTTTTTGGAGAGGAAAATCTGCAAAATGGAAATATAATAATATTTCAAATATGATATATTACATAAAGGGAGCTGGAAGTACTGACACTTTTATTGGAAGCTGAAAACATTATAAAATTTTCTGAAATATTTAATAAATGAAAGGGCAGGAGAATATGCAAAATTTGTGAATTATGGCATGACTAAAATATTTATAGCTGGAAATGTATTTGTGTTTAAAGGGATATTTCACCTAAAAAATGAAAGAAAGAAAAAATAATAATAATAATTTGCCCATCTAAATGTCACCAAATTTCTAAATGACAACAAATTGTGTGTGTGTGTGTGCATGTGTACATATATATAATATATGTATTCAGAATATACTTTTTTTTTTTTTTTGAGAATACATTAAGAAACTTTTTTTTTTTTCATCATAATACACATTGGGACCAGAAAGAACATAAGAAAAACATTACTGTCCAAAAGTTTGGGTTTGGTAAAATGTTTATGCTTTTAATTTGACCATATATTGAAATTACACTACTTGTCAAAAGTTTGGAATAATTACTATTTTTTATTTGTTTGAAAGAAGTCTCTTATGCACACCAAGGCTGCATTTATTTGATGGAAAAAAAATATGGTAATAAAAATGCAATATTGTGAAATATTATTATAATTTAAAAGGTAAGAGAATATGCAGATATTTGTGAATGATGACAAAAGTAATAATATTTATTGGTGGAAATATATTTGTATTTAAAGGCATAGTTCAACTGAAAATCAGTCATCATTTTCGCGCCTACATTTTATTCTAAACCTGTATGACTATTCTTATATTTTGTATGGATAAAACAGAGAAATTTTTTTCAAAATATCTCATTCTGTGTTCCAAAGAAGATGGAAAGTCATGACATGACATGAGGGAGAGTAAATTAATTTATATTAATTTTCATTTTTGGGTGTACTATCCCTTTAATTCCTTTGACCTGAGCCTCAGAGGTCGAGTGGTCAGGAAACACACACTTGCAACTCAGCACCTTGCTCTAATAGGTGAGAGGTCAAAGAAGCACAGCCATAACTCTCTATGAATCAACCCCATGGGAGTGTTTACGTGTGTGTTGGCCACTATGTCAAGGAATGTATTAAAAACACTCAAGAGTAAAGAGCAGTCAAGAGAGAGAAAATATAAGATTGTGCATGCAAGCCTAATTAAGAAGAAACACCTTTCTTCTCACTTCTTGTCTCGCTTTGTCTGAGTGTGAGATACAGAGACAATGTGCGTAAAGAAGGAGAATGTGTGTTGATTGTGAGCATGTGTGAGAGAGCGCTTATGTGTGAGTATGTGTGGTTGTGTGTGTGTCTCATCACCATACAGCTGAGACTGCAGGTGGTGGATCTTTCAGTGAAAGACTGTCTCACTTCTCATAAGAATCACTGCCAGATAACACACACAGGAGCCACTGTTTATCGCACACACACATACACACACACCACTGCAAATGAAGAAATAATCAAGCCTGATCGCAAAACATCTTGGACACATTAAACACGATTAGATCGTGGATCTCCGAAACAGATGTCTTAGAATGTATTAAGCATCTATCGCTCATAATTCTCTAAATAACAATAAAATATGTATCAATTAATGCTATAAAGCAGCACTGGTTACATAAGTACGTCATTAAAAACAATGAAATATGAATTATGGGATCCAATATTGATCATTAAAAAAATTCAACCCATCTTGGGTGTTTAATGTGTTCGCCCTCCAGAGAGGCAGTGCGGAGATTAATTAGGGTCTGAACACACACACACACACACACACACACACACACACACTCAATGCTCAGTGCATGGGTACTTTCACTGTATTTTGTTCCTGTCTTATATTCGAATGTCGCTAGCTCAACATTACTTCTTTATCGTTCTCTCTCTCATTTTTTCTTTCGCACACAGTCTCATTTTCATGTACCTCCGTCTTCTTTGTCTCATATTCTCCTCCTTCACGGGCTAAAACAGTAAAGGGACCATTAGACGTATAGCAGAGTCCCAGAAACAGCTTTGATCATCTGTTCATTAGATCACATGGGAATATCATGGAAAAGGAGACAGATACGGGGATGGGTGTTGGACCATTTTCACGAGGATGCACCAAATTTGTAATGTCAGATTGTTTTGCACCCACAAATCTCCATATAAAAATCAATTTTACCACTTACATTTACTCTTACTATTTTCAATATTCAATAAAAAAGAAATATTATACCATTTACAACATTTATTTCATCATACACTTGGTGACCAGATAAAAAAAAAAAAAATGGAAAAAAAGAAGAAAAAATATAATTTTTTTTTTTTAATTGGGCCTTGAAACCTATACACTACCCTTCAAAATGTGTTAGTAATTTGTAAGACTTTTTACTTTTTTTTTTTTTTTACAGAAATATTTTATTCTCACCAAGACAGCATCTATTTGATCAAAACATCAATTTTACATCAAACACATTTTATATCAAAAAACAGTAATATTGTGAAATATTATTACAATTAAAAGCAAGTGTTTTCTATTTTAATATATTTTAAAATGTAATTTATTCCTGTGATAGCAAAGCTGGATCTTCAGTGTCACATGATCATTTAGAATTTTTTTCTAATATGCCAATTTGGTGCTTATTATTATCATTGTTGAAAACAGTTATGCTGCTTAACATTTTTGTAGAAATTGTGAAAATACTTTTCATTTTTTTGTAACTCTTTGCTGTCACTTTTGATCAATTAAACGAATAAAACTATTAATTTGTTTCCTTTCATTTCTCTGTAAACATATTTCTTTGATGAACAGCCTTCAAAAGAAGTATTTATTTCAAATAGAGATCTTTTGTAACATTATGAATATCTTCACTGTCACTTTGATCAATTTAATGCATCCTTGCTGAAAAACAAATATTACAAATATAATCTTTACGACCCTGAATGTTAATGTGATCATGTGAAACGTTTATATCAAACTGAAAGATACTGTATTTGTTGTCTCTTTTGCTCTGCAAGGGATCATTCATCTCACAGCTGGACCATACAACATGACTCTGCTTTTGGAATTTCACAATGTCTTATATCGATTCCCACCCCAAGAGAAATGGCACAGGAGCCCAGACCACATGACTTGTGTTATTATATAGGACAAAGCCAGTGTCCACCACTTACAGTAGTGCAATGGTTCACCCTTCTGTTCTCTCAGATGACATTACGTCCACCATATCCCCATTTCCAGATCCGACTGAGGCTTTTTTTTCATGCTGGCAATGGAAAATGAATGATTGAAACCCATTCATTATTTTCTTGAAGCAATCCACATGGACTGTAATGATATCACGCCAGAGGCCTGTCATTCTAGGCACAACTTCCCAGTCTGTTTGGCCAAGGAACCAGATTCAGGTGTCATGTTGATGAAGTTATGTGGCCACATCCAAATGGCAGCATGTAAACACCTGCTCTTTTGTTTTGTACAATATATGACTTGACCAAACCACAGTACAGGCCTACACAGATACATATATTTTTTGTGTGTTTGTTAATATTACGTTATATTTACTTTTTTTATGTTTTTGAAAAAAGTCTTGTATCAATGCTGCGTTAATCTGATCAAAAATACAGTAAAAAGAGTAATATTATAAAATACAGTATTATTACAATTTAAAAGAACTGTTTTTTATTTAATTTATTTTTAAATGTAATTTATTCTTGTGATGGTGAAGCTGAATTTTCAGCAGACATTGCTCTAATCTTCAGTGTCATGATCCTTCAGAAATCATTCATGCTGATTTGGTGCTCAGTTATTGTCAATTATTATTGGTGCTCAAATTAGGTTCTTCTTATTAATAATGTTAAAAACATTGATTATTATTAGTGGATCAAGGTTTCCACACAACTATTAAGCAGCAAAAA